TTTAGTTGCATTGAGAGCTTCCCTCTGCCCTGATTTTGAAGGGCAAGTCAACTACTAAACCACTTGACAGAATCTTCTTCAACTGACTTGTTACTCAGTTTCCTTCCAGACACCTGATAGAACAGTTCTTCATATACAAAAAAGCAGTCAGCTATAGAAGAAACCTAGATTTATTGGTATTTAATTGCACTCTGCCTACTACACCTCCTGTCACCTCCTCGGAGACAGTCAGTTCATCATGAAGAATCAGAAAACACATCTTGTTCTCTACTTTACAGAGTAGTTAGTTAAAAAGAAAAATAAACACCTTTAAAAGTGTGGAAAACCCAGAATCTTATACATTTCTTCTTCCTTCTAAATTTTTCTAATTTACCAAGAAATTGTGACACAGGAAAAGGTTTATGTAGAAGCAAGTAACACATGAAAAGTTAGCTAAAATAACAAAGGCAAACTGCAACTCTTACCAGTAATTTTCAGTAGAAGAGGGTTCATTGCATCCAAAGAGTAACATGTGATGGACAGTGTCCATACTGGCATGAGGCTTAAAGTCAACTGAAAAACAAAATGGTAATAACAAATAATCTGTCCTTACTTTCACCATAAGTTACATAAGTAAGAGCATTTTGTACCATTTTTAGTCTGTAATACTAGAAATAGGCATGTATGTGCCCACTCATTTACCTTCTGCTTTCCACTTACAAGCTTTCCTTATATTCCCATTCAACAGCTTGTCTCCCAAGCTAAAACAGTAATCGTTTTGGTATTGATACCAATCTAAATAAAGTCTGATTTACTTTCCTGATCAAGTTCTACTTTAAATTATAAACTTCAGGAGAAACATGAATGAAGAGAACATGACATCAGCTTAACATTAACCATATCTAGTTAAGCAATGTATTAAAAAGAATTAATTTCTAAGTTCATCTTCATAAATAACAATTCAGTGATACAAAGCTAATATTCTTTCTTTCCTATAAAGGAATGAACTTTGAAGAAATTTATCAACATATCAATGTCCACAGTTTGGCAGATTAAGGAGACATTAGAGGCCTTCAATACAGTGAAATCATCATTACTCAGTAATAGGGAAGTTAATACATGCCATATTAGAGTAACAAACCCATAGTGTCTCAGAGTCACGTATGGACAAAAAGTAATAAATCATCTAATTATTTCAATTTGTGTTGCTGAACTTAATAGGATCCATCTCATTCATACAGCACAATCTGACAGATAGGGACTCACTATGAGTCAGTAAGAAAAAGACACATTTATTTACTAGTCACCCATGTGAATGAACATGACGGTGAAGATGACAAACTGGGTGTTACACTTATAAACTTGGCGTTTCTTGGCTGAGTGGCTTGCTGTCAGACTTAATTCTTGTAAGTGTCTGTAGAGCACCCTTTATCTTCCACTACAGCTCTCCATAGTGAAAAAACGAGTTTTATCAACACCTGCACCATTAAAGATTCAATCTAGTTTCTAGTTTGGCTACTCATTCATAAACATTAATCAAACATAAGGTGGAAGAACAAAATCACAGTATGTTTTCAAAATGTAACTGGAATGACATTTTCTTGAAGAATTATAAATTAATCTCACTCATCGAGATCATTTAAACATTAATCTCACAGCCATTTCATTTCATAGAAGCAAAAGGCACGTTGCTAAAATTAACCTTGGGTTGTAAGCAATGCTATCATGGGCAGACTTTATGTTCACAGAACAAGTTTTGATTTTATTCTTTTTTTAATTCACTCATCAAGTGATCAGACTTTATTATGCTTTCTAAAGACATGTACTCAAGCACAGTGATCACTGGAAAGGTTAACACATCCTATAAAAATCTGGTGCAGAACATGTAAACACCTAAACTCTAAATGTTTCTCAGTCTTCAGAGAAAAAAATAGGCTGCCTTGCATGATTCACATTGACACTCTGCATAAATACCACTTTAGTATTCTTTTAGTAGGTCCTTTTAAACATATACACCACTGAAAATTTATGTGGCTTTAACATACGTAAACACCAAATGACAGAACTAAACGTGCAGGAATCTAATAAAGACTAGAACTATGCAAGTCTGCAACTCAGTGAAGCACTAAATAAAAACTGCTTATGCAGAGGGTTAGTAGTATGTCTTTCTGTGAACCACATGAAAGCAGAACAATCTATTGCACACACTGCACAGCAACTATAGTCTATTAGACAATGAACACTCACTCACTCTTAGTGCTCATGTTCCTTTCTGGGACCAAACACACAGCCAAGATGTCAGGTCAGATTCTGACTTCTTTACAAAACAGATACAGAGGAAGCACTGAAGAAAATTTACTCAATTTTTTTTAGTTACTATATGTTCCTTAAACCACGACACTATAATACATGAAAATGTAAACACAACATTCTGTTTCTGAAGGATTCCACAAGGAAATCCATAGAGTACAACAGTCTCATAACACACTACAACAAAAAAACTAAATGGGATTCCCACCAGATTTATTGTTAAGTGCAGATATTCTAGAACGCAACAAGAGAGTAAAGGAGGAAAGATACAGACATTTTAACTCCTCATTGTTTCCTTTTATTTCGGTTTCTAGCGTGTTCTGATGGTGAAGCTATGTTCAGTTGAACCAAAAAGCCTTCTCTCTACCTGAACAACTGCATGTTCATGAGCAAGGCAAAACAGAAGTACCTTTGAGGTACTTTGACTTTCCAGACAGATGGTGTTGTTTGCTGATCTATATGATCACAGCATTTGCATGCTATTACAGTAGTGTTTCCTTCTATTTGTCTGCCATGACATTAAAAAAAAAAGCCAATGGAGGGGAGAAGATTTGGCTGGTTTTGTTTTTTCCCTCAGATAAGTAAAATTTTACTGCAGCCAACACTGACTGTAAGTGCAAAGGATTTACAGCCTGTACCAGCAGGTAAATAAACAGTCTGCTCACTGGAGCAGAATTAAGTATCCAGCTAGAGACAGAAAGCCAATATTTTACAAATGGGACTGTTTGGTACCGATTGCCAGAGGCATCTGCATGCAGTTTCTTAACTACTGCTACTCATGAATGTCTCCAGAAACAGTGTGTTATCTTGACTCTAAGTAGGTGTCTCTAGTTTGTTTCTGCATTAGCCGTGATGAACGCATTCTGGAAACTCGTGACAGCCAAAGATTAAGTCAATGTAATTCAAAGAAAAAAAGAAACAGAAAATGCTGAAGTTCTTCAGAATTGCTTGCTTAGGTTTCTCCATTCAACCAAAACTCACCTACATATGCTTCATCATCTATTGGCAGGGGTACTGACATGCAGAGGTAGGTATCGGACTATTAAAAGACAAAAGAACAGATATTACCTCTAAATTTGGAATATTTAGAATGAAAGTAATAGAAACAGAGCATCAAAATTCACTACACTTTCGGAAGATGAATGAGGGACTACTGAATAAACTAGTACATAAAAATTATATATTTATAAGCCTTAGCACTGAATTAATTTGCAGTGGTTTACAAACACTGCCTCCTCCCCACATGCTAAATATTTGGGATTTCTTTTCCCTCCTCCTCCTGTCTGGAAATGTGTACATGTTTCTTCCATGAACCAGATATATATTTTACATAGTTTAAGATGTATGTTAGCTGTATGCCCCTACATTAAAAGAATTAAATGATTCTTACAGTAATCATTCCAAAGCAACAATGTGAATGCTCATAATCTAGGTACAACCTTACCGGTATTACCAAAAATTCATCTCAGTTTCATGGAATACATGCAGATAGCTAGACTTCTTAGTATCCAAAGAGATTAATTTTCAGTATCTGCTTTCCACAAGAATTTCCTGGGAAACTAAAGCATCGAGGACCTTGGAAAATTAAATTAAATACAATTGCCTACGGTGATGCTACAGAAGAACTAAACTCAGCAGCAGTACTATTTCAGAAGTTCCCTTTCCTTTTCTATCTTGGAGACATTTTTGGCTGAACAACCAGTGGCTCCAGAGCCCCAAGAAAAATTCCTGCATTAGATAAACCTTCTGATTGTACATCTACCACAGGTCACGCTGGTCATAAATTGTAAACAAAGACCTAGTTTGTTCCATTAAAGATCTTTCTGTTAGCTTGCTGTGACTCTAAATAAAAAACGTGACTGGCAGGTGTGCATTCCACTGAGGAATCTGAAGTGACTGACCCCTTCATACCTGTTTCCTAGCTCTGCAACTAATGGCTCCTCAGGTAAAATCAATAAAACAATTACAAATGTGCACATGGATGAACTGAGAGCAATTCTTACTCTTTCTGAATTATAAGTTTAACATTTTCTGCAGACAAGTAAGATCTAGTAGAAACTGCACTTGTGTTTTACACTTACTGGAATGACACCACTTACTCTAAATTACAAGTTCCAGAGGGGTGCTCCCCAAGAACTGAAATCCTCATTTTCCCTTCAGCATTTTTAAAAGTGTTATCTGCAACAATGAATCACCATCTACTGCAGCACAACACTCTGCTCTTTACAAGCATCTGCAGCTCTCTAAAACAGAGGGTGTCTTTAATGATACATATAATTCCCTGAATTGCCTTCCTGCAAAAAAAACCCTTTATTAATAATTGTTTATCTTGCTTAATTAAGCTACATGTGAAAATGACAGTAGAATTTCAGACTTTCAGGTGAATCTTAAAAATGCTGATGTTAAAAATCTTAACTATTGTCTTCATTTTCACTCACCCAGCTCAGCAGAAGTTAAACAACTTCAAACATGAAAGAGTATACTTTTATAACTTGTTTATAGTAACTTTCTTGGACTATTTTAAGGGTTTAAAATACTGGGTCAAATGTATTACCCTTATGAAATGTTTTCTGGGTGTCTTCTGAGCTTGCCAAAGTTGCAGCAGTGTTAATTTTAACTGAACTCATTTTACTGCAGCCTCATTTGAGATTTGGTGTAAACTGCAAGTCCAAATAAATGACTTACTAGTACAGCTGGAAATATTTCACTTTAACAAAACTCATATTCGTAATTTTAATAAACTTCAGCTTTATTTTCTAAAATGGTAGAAATAATCATTTTATAAATAATCACATGCAAAGATTTTTCTCTCATTTGAGATTACTTTTCTGTTTTCTACTTTTCTCTGGACATACATATATCTATAAAAGTTATCTTGCTGGTGTTTTTTAATTCATTTTATGTGAGTTATATTGTAGCAAGGCTTTATTTTCCAAGGTTATATATAAAAAAAAAAGTAAGTACCAAAAAGAAAAACTGCATTTCTCTCACCTGCTTAGGTGTCACACCAGGCATACGAATGTCCAGTGCAAAATCTGACAGACCAAGTGAAATCACTGGCTGGTCACTTCCAAGGTATTCACTGGAAAAAGACCTGGTAGTATCTTTGTACCTTATAATGAAGGAGGAAAGAGTTTTTAAAATACTGACTTCTGTTATGTCTTTCTAAAAAGCAGAATCTTGAGAACTAGTAGGGAAGTGTGACAATGCTGAGGAATGGAGTGATCTGGAAATTTCACTCCTTCATGAGCTTAAGTTATCAAGAATTTACTGAGACAGTTCCCCTGAGCAATCACACAGACTAGTTTGGAAAACATTAGCTAAAATGTAACCTGTCATCTCATCTAAGAAGTTGTCTGAGGTACATGGATGTACAGATAGAGAATTAATTCACTAAAAAATTTCAAGTACTGTAAATCATTCATAAGTTTTGGGGGGTTTTTTAAGATTATGTGCCTGATGTGTAATTCAATACAGATTATGTGTAAAAGGGAAATTTTTAATTCTAACACCAGGACATACATAGCAGCTCATATTACAAGCAGTGAAGTAAACCAGTAAGTTTTACAACTTCACATGAATATCGAAGTCTGTATTGAATGCAGTGTATAAATAAATTGTAAAAAAAAAAAAAAAAATCACAGTAAGGAATTAAATGATAAGACATCTGAAATACGATGTAACATTGATATAAATTTGGAATATGTATATTCATGTATACATAGATATATATATATATAAAAATACAGAAATGACATGGTAACTATAGTCCCCAATATACCTCACAAAGAGTAAAACACTTCTCCGGAGAGCTAAGAGACTACAACTTCTCTTGTCCACACTGTATTCAAGTTTACCTACGCAATTCTGCATACAACTCCCCCGCCCCCAACTTCCCAGGACTGCCCAGTTTTAACCTAGATGATGCCTTCTCATTAAAACATCATTTTATACTGCAAGCTATCTTAAGCAGCTGAAATATATTTACACCCTGTGTGGTGCCAAATACACCTGCGGTGTTACCTAAAAATTTTCATTAATTGTTGTTTTATCATCCTAAACTCATATTTTATAAAGCAATCCATGAATAAAACAAGACTTTCTGCCTTCAATACAACAAAAGTGCTATTTCAAAACTGCAGAAAGTAAATTCAGAGCAAGTGAGCAAAACCAAACAAACACCATGCACGTTTTTATCTAGGACATGCTTTTTCATATATCCATTAATGTTAAGTGACTGCATGCATTCAACACATAAGGTCTTCCCGCATAACCCACCTCTTGAAGACAGAAGGTGGCCTTCTGAAACCCAGACAGATGTTTTGAGAAACAAAAAGCAGTACTAGCAGGTTGTTAAAGAGGTCAGCCATGACCACCCAGCTGCTTTTGGCCTGATTAAGCGAGCACAAAAAGGGCAGTGCAGTTCTGTCGGCTGTGATCCTGACAATTAGGCTGCAGCAGCAGTGTCAATTCACTACTTCATTATTATGTGCTCTGCGGGCATCCTCCAGCTTCTGACAGACCATCTGTCTTGGAAGGTGATACACAGTAAATCAGGAAGGTGGATGATGCTATGTTGTCTCTATTATTAGCTGTAAAAATCTGTTGAAGAATCTTCCCTTGCAGATAGATGACACTGTACTTCTTGTCCACTCAGGGAGCTGAAAAGAAGTAGCACTCCTACTGCTTTCTTCCCAGGTTGTGCAATTAAATCTGCATGTTACTTATCAATCCACTGTGCTGCAATTGGCATCACAGAAACCAGCGTCAATCATCCTTCAGAACCTGTAAAAATAGAAGCAGATTTTTAAAGGATGACTAACGCATTATAGCATTAGTTCTCACCAAATCCCTGTTGAGGCATTTTAAATACATTAGAGTAAGTTGTTTCACAAGCTTTATTTAGCCCAACCTAGCAAAGATTGCACTGAGTCTGTTGATTCCTCATTATCCATACAGGGTCAGAAACTGACGCATTTCATGTTGATATACAAAACCACACTCTCAAACACATTTTACATGATAGATAAAAATAAACACACACGCAAACTCACACACCCAATATGTAAAAAGCAAAGCATGGAGTACTTCACACATACGAACACTAGCATAATGCGTTCGACAAGCAGCAAAAAAAGGCCAAGTGCTGACATGGCAAGAATCAAGGTTTCTAAATTTTATCAACTATCACTAAATGTTTCTGCACGTACTGTGGGCTTGAAGAATATTCTACTGTTAATGCAACCTGTAATACACCACTATGTCATCTGTTTCTTATGTACTTCAGTTACTTTTCATATCCATTTCAGAAAATTGATTCTACGAATTATTTTTGGAACTACTGCAACAAGAACTATTGAGATCAGACTGCTTTATATCCTTTCATAAATTCAGGTTATATCAGCATAAACTATTACTCGCCTCATCACTTTAACTTCAACTGTTCTTACTTACACATTTCAGTTGACACAACATTTTAATTTCAAAATTTTGAGTGTTTATGTAAGTGTGCTGTAAAATCACACAGTGTGTTACTCAAGACATAAACTAGTATTTTTACTGAGCATTCCAATTCTGGCAGAAGTTTCAAGTCATACTAAAAATTAAAGTCTTTAAAATGTATCAGGTAGTAATTAATACAAAAAAAACAGCCAGGCCCAACTATATCCCAGCCCCTGGAAGACATAGTCAAAATACTGCCGTAATGATAAAATAGAAAAGAAGGATTCTGACAGGAAACACAAGTGAAATTCATGTGTTTAATGAAAATTCTTTCTATCTCAGGGCACATATGCAAAAAAACTTATTATGAAATAAAAGGGCTTTTGCATAGACTAAGAAGCCATGCTGCCTGCTGTTTAGCAGCTACACTAGATTTGCACTGAACTATTTGTAAGTTTTTAAAAGCTGATTACATTAATCATCATTAAACTTGCATATTTTATTAACTGAACGATAAGAAAATGATTCAGTCATAAGCTAGAAACAGACTTCATCTTACTTTCAGCTTGCCAAAAACATGCCAGAGCTGTCCAGAATCATGCATGCAAGCTATGATACAAGCATAATTTTTTTTTTAAATGTAAATTTCCATGTCTTCAATTCTGTAGCCTAAATCATCTTTGCTAGTGAACTATGGAAATCTGCAACACATATAAATGACTGTACTATGATGAAAACCAAAAATAATTAAAAAAATATAAAAAGGCAAGTGTGATATGCCTCACAAAAAGCTAAGGCAGTCAACTGTTCAGCATCTTTGTAATTCACCTGATTGGAAGCTCTAGTAGGGTTAAAATTTGTACTACATAAGAAATTAGGCCATACTGTAAATACACTTGACAAGCAAGAACTCTGAAGAACACATGCAAGAATAACACACTGGATCTTAATATCACAGAATTACAATGTTTTGACTTACGATTTTTGAATCTGCAAAGGTATTTTCCATGAATTAAAAATAAAACCAAACACTCAACTTTTGCAAGCTTCAGGAAGTCTGAGATTGGTAACATCAAACAAACATCTACCTGGTACATGAATTAACAAAAGGAAGCTACAGAGAAACCTGATTATCTGAAATATGAGAGTTTCTTTACAGCGGCATTCAATTCTCACTGCAGGTAATAGCAAAAATCAGCAGGACATATCTTGTATCACCAAAACATGTGTCTTAATATTACAGAGGAGTATCTGATGATTTATGACTCTTAGAATGCTGACCACAAGAAAGAAAAAGAGAAACAAATAACCTAGAATTACCTAAAAGAGCGAAGAAATTAAATATGTAGTGAGATCAATACATGTATGTATAACATCTGTACATTCTTCTTAAAAAATGGGTCAATTTCATCCACAAGCTTGTTTTTTAACTACAGTTTCATTGGCTGGATGGATATGAATAGAAAAAAGTGTAATGCACTTGATACTTAGTATTAGACCCCTGCACAACCAAATTTTACATTTGGAAGGAAATGAGGTAAAAAGAAAAAACAAACCAGGCAGCAATATCCTGAAGAGATTTCAATGTCATTTTAGATATGACGCTACACACAAGACTATGAGACAACAAGGGAATAAAGTGAGGATGAGAGATTCAATAATAAGATTACACAGTTACTTAGGTTCATTATGTAAGACATAATTACTGATAAAGAGTGAACGGAGAGAAACGGAGATGAAAATCAGATTGGGCAACGTAAGCATGTTATTTATCCCACCCAGACATACCAGAAAACAATATAAAATAGCAGAGTAAAGAAAAACAAAACAGTCAACATCAACTAGCATGAAGATGTCTCACTGAATAGGCTGGGGGAGGGGGGGGAGAAAAAAAGCGGCCAAGAAATTGGAACTCAAAATACAATTTAAAATAGTACACAAATACAGCAATGATATTTCAGTATGATGTTATACAAACTGAATGACCAATTTCTATAAATTAATTACAGAAAAAGAAAGCTCTGTATTAACAAGTTCATAGAGCACATTATAATACTTTCTTTTTTCCAGTTTAGTCACTAAACATTTTATATATAGTACCAAGAGAACAATCAAGATGCAAAAACCTCACCTTCAACCAATACTACCTTCAAAGATAAAAAAAAAAAGATGATCAAAGCTTACTGGAACTGATATGAAGGTCTATAACAAATAGGGTAATTTCTCATAGTTGAATCACTTTTCTGGTTTCTTACGCACTGAAATCATGGAATTGAGCAAGGATTATTTGAGTTCTGTCTCCAGCTAGAGCACAGAGTGAATGCTAGAGCATTCCATCTATGACAAAAGTAGAAGCTTAAGCAACAACTGAGTATACGAACAATAGTCAGTTCCACAAATGAGCTGCAGGTAGGCCTACAAGTTGAAGCACTTAGCTTCTAACAGCACAGGAAAATCAATACATTGTGGGATCAGCTTAAAGATTCATTAATGCACTAAATACAGCCACTTATGACACTTTAGTCAAACAAACACAGAAAAAGCATTCAGGCAAGAAGTTGTCATATTAGACAACCTCCTGAACCACAGCATCAATAAAAAACAGCTCACAAACCAGTTAAGATATCTAGGAGTTGGTAGTGCAATTATTGGAAACACCGATGTGTAATTCTGATGATGCCAACCTGGAAGGAGCGCTTGATACACCAAAGAGTTGTGCTGCCATCCAGAGGGACCTTGGCAGGAGGGACAAATGGACTGACGGGAACCTCAGGCTGTTCAACAAGAGGAAGTGCAAAGTCCTGCACCAGGGGAGGAACAACCCCAGGCACCAGAACATGCTGGGAGCAGCCCAGCTGGAAAGCAGCCTGGCAGAAATGGATCTGGGGGTCCTGGTGGACACCAGGCTGAAGATGAGCCAGCCATACACCCTTGCTGCCAAGAAGCTTAATAGCGTCCTCAGCCAAACTGCTGCCAGCAGGTAAGGGGAGGTGATTCTTCCCCTCTACTCAGCACTGGTGAGGCCATGCCTGGAGTGCTGGGTCCAGGGCTGGGCTCCCCGGTATGAGAGAGACATGGATGTCCTGAAGAGTCCAAGGAAGGGCCACCAAGATGATGGGAGGACTGGAGCATCTCTCCAAGAGGAAAGGGTGAGGTAGCTGGAAACGTTCAGCCTCTAGAAGAAAAGGCTCAGGGGAAAATCTCATCTATGTATATGAACACCTGAGAGGAGGATGCAAAGAGGATGAAGCTAGGTGACAGGTTGTTTAGTATCTCTATCAATGATCCGGATGAGGGGATCGAGCACACCCTCAGTAAATCTGCAGACGATGCCAAGTTGGCTGGGAATGTTGATCTGCTGGAGGGTAGGAAGGCTCTGCAGAGTGATCTGGACAGGCTGGATTGCAGGGCCAATGCCAACTGTAAGAGGTTCAACAAGGCAAAGTACCATGACAACCCCATGCAACACCGCAGGCTTGAGGAAGTGTGGCTGGAAAGCTGCTCATGGAAAAGGACCTGGGGGTGTTGGTCAACAGCCAGCTGAACATGAGCCAGCTTGTGCCCAGGCAGCCAAGAAGGCCAATGGCATCCGGGCCTGTATCAGCAATAGTGTGGCCAGCAGGGCCAGGGCAGTGATTGTCCCCCTGCACTGGGCACTGGTGAGGCTGCACCTTGAATCCTGTGTTCAGTTCTGGGCCCCTCACTGCAAGAGAGACACTGAGGTGCTGGAGCGGGTCCAGAGAAGGGCAATGGAACTGGTGAAGGGCCTGGAGCACAAGTGTGATGAGGAACAGCTGAGGGACCTGGGGGATTTAGTCTGGAGAAGAGAAGGCTCTTTCCTGAAGAAAAAACTCTACCTACAACTACCTAAAAGAAGTTTGTAGCAAGGTGAGTACCAATCTCTTTTCCCAAGTAATGAACGAGACGA